TGAGCCAAATAGGCACGGAACCATGTGGTTTCGATACCGTACACAGACAATTTGTCGAGAAGTGTAACATGAGGAACAACATCAAAACATTTTGAGAGGTCTAGTAGTACCAAGATACAAATGTTACCATTGTCCATTGCCTGAAGAGCATGATCAGTAAAGACGTGAAGCGCGGTTTCCGTTGAACGTTGTTTTCTATAACCGTGTTGGGCGTCCGAGAGAAGGAAATTTTCTTCGAGATAAGAGACCAACTGTTTTTGCACGACACGTTCAACTAATTTCATAATCGCAGGCAGGATGGAGATGGGACGCGTGTCGGACGGCTCGGTAGCCCTCGTTCCTTTCGGAATTGGGGTAACCAGAGCGTGTTTCCAGTCCTGCGGTACTACTCCGTTAGAAAGGCTGGAGTTCACAACATCCAAAACCGCATGGCCAATCCCGGGAAAGAACTTCTGTAACATGCGCACACTGACACCGTCCTTGCCAGTCGACATAGATGGTTTCATCGACAGCAATGTGGCATAAAGAGTGTCCAAATCGGTAGGTTGCACCTCAAACGCACACGTCAAAACTCTCGGGAGTCGCGTGGGCACACGTACAGTAGCGGCGGGGACACTGGCTGCAGTGGAAGGACCGATCGCAACATAATAATCATTCAATGCATTCGGCGTGATTCTCGGTATCTCGCAGGACTGCTGCTTCCTGCCCACGACCGGCCGCAGCACTCGCCACAGCCCGCCCCGGTCACCGCGGCTGATAGCACCAGCATACCGCGCGCGGGTCTCGTTCCGCACGGCGGCGCGGTACAGCCGGTTCACCCGTTTGTACTCGGCTCGATCGCCCCGAGCTAAGGCCGCGCGGCGGGACTGCAGCAGCTGCTGGGTCTCGGCTGACACGGGCGGCGCAGTCACCTGCCTATCACGGACGCGTTTGAGCGGTGCGACAGCATCCAATCGTTCAACGAACGTGTCACGGAAAACGCTCCACTTACGCTCAGTCGAGTCCGAGAAATACACAGGAGACCAATCGGTATCAGCAAGCTGCTGATTAAACGAGTTTGTATCGATCCTGCTGATAGGGCGTCGGTACACACTGGATTCCCGGCGTGGCGCCGCACGACTCTCACGACTGACCATAACACGAGTGAAGTCATGCGGACCTCCGTAGTGACACCTGGTGACACCGACACGTCTGATCAACTCCGGACGGCGTTTGTACGCAGCCGAACGACGTTTGAATGCGGTAGGACTGACGGATAAATTAATAAAAGTAAGTGCGGAGAATGCATACATCATTGGAGTGTTAATAAGTTAATCCGTGACACAAGTTGCATTTAGGTAGCCGTGAAATTGAGAACGTGGCGTTCCAATGGTCATATTCTGTCCTTGGCTTTCTGTATATTTTCCTGTCCAACGTGTTATGCGTCATGTTGAGTTATGATGCTTTTCCGTCCACGAATGTTGCTTACCACACCAAATTTGCTAAAATGCTCTAAAAATGATTCGTAGCTTCTCCAGAAAGACGTAATCCATGAATTAAAAAACGCCACTTGAAAGGACACATTTAATCTATTGACAAACGTAAGCAAGACTGCATTTTCCTTTCTGCTTCTGCTGTGGAGATGGAAAATTTTCTGTCTTTCGACCCATTTCGCCGAGCTGTTTTTCTGTTCTGGGTGCGACTGGCCGTTGGCTCGCACCGGCCCCGGGCGTCGGCAGTGTCACGTCACCCGTAGCACATAACACGTCCGTGCGCCGCCGAGGCCAGTGCTCTGCTCCCTATCTCAGTCTGGGGCGTCCCAGTCGTTCTCAGAACAGCGGCACGCATAACGGGACGTGTATGAGCGCCGCGCCGGAGACAGCTTGGAGCCGCGCCGGTGACAGGCCGGCAGCGGGCTCGAGTGAGCACGTGGCATTTTCATTCATTCATTTATTGTTGTCATCATGAGAAATAAGAAATCATAGTAAACAAGGATGATACCTCTGGCACAGCTTGACGTTCTAAAACCCGTAGCGACTTGACGAGGCTAGGTGTGAAACATCTGAGGGACGAGTGGTCTTTTAGTTAGTTTTATTTATATATAAAAATCCCACGCCGAGGTTTAACTCAGAACAAAGATGCACAATATCCCAAGATTACCCAGAGTTTCTGTCCTTTCGTATCATCATTCATCATTCGCTATTCGGTGTGCGAGTGGGCTGCCCTCGTGTGTGTCTGGTTTGTGTGGCCTGCTGACGGCTGCCTGTCGTCTCCCTCCGCTGCTTGGTGTGAAAGGCCCTCTCTGGCCCGTGTCTGCTGTCTGCTGTCGGACACAGCCCACTGCGCCGTCTGCCGCGCGGTGAGACGGTGATACCGCCTCCGTCCGTCCGCCGAGAAAACACGTCTGGGACCGCGTCCAGCCGCCGCGCCGCCGCGGCACGTTTACATTGGTCTCCGTCCGGCTACTGCGCCATTCCCGGCGGATCGGAGCCAATCTCGGCGCGCCGGCGGTGGTGGCGCGCACGGGCCGAGCCGGCACGCGGCCAGCGGCGGCGGCGGCGGCGGGGGCGGGGGCGTACTCACGGCCGGTCTGCCGTGACCGCGACCGTAGCGGTGCCGACCGTGGGGGCCGCCACGACCTTGTGGTGCGCAGAGGAGAGAGTCGCGGAGCTGACGGGGAGAGGGAGAAAGGAGGCGGTGACGGAGCGCCGGCATGGTGTCGCGTCACCGCCCTTGCTGTGTTGAGGCGGGAGGGCTGCCAGCTGCCGACAGCCGGAGAAGATGATGAAACTGAACGCCCCCATTAATTTTCATCGCTTCCGAGTAAATAATCTCTCCCTCATTGCGGGCGGGCGAGCGCAAGGTGGAGTGACTGGACAGAGCATGTCGGAAATAATCAGAGTATTGATGTTCAAAGCGTCGTGGCGAATTGGAATGCCTGTCGATACCGAGCTTGAGCAGCGTAGTATGTTTAAATTCAGTGCCAATGTCATGTCCGTTCGGCGTTTTCCGCTCGCCCCTGCCCCGTTCGAATACCTGGCGTCCTGAGCTCTCCTGTCAGGCTCCGGGCACGTGGCGCCGATCCGCACCATGTGTCGATACCGGTCGCCTGTCACCTCGCGCCGTCCCCGTGTCAGAGGCAGGTGGATCTGACATCCGCCGCTTCTGAACGATCGCGGAAGTGTGTCGAATCTGATGAGTCGACACAACTTGGCGAACGTGGGTGATTCACGCCGACGGAAGTCGAATCGTGGAACTTCATGTGTCTGGATATGTTGCTCTGAGGTGTCGCCGCGCGTGGAAACTCTTGTCAGCCGTCTGCTAACCTCGACCGTGGCTGGCGACCGAGGTCGCGGGTGCGGGCGGACCGGGCCGCGGCCGGCGGCTGACCGCGGCGCCGCGCCGGCCGCCAGCTCGCTCCTGGCCGGCTGCCAAGCCGCCGCTGGCCGCCGCAGCTCACCAAACATGTGTCGGGCGGCGGGCGCGTGCCAGCGCGTGGCGACTGGCCCGGGGGGTGGGCTGCGGGTGGGGAAGCTGCGGCGTGCCCCCGGTCCGGCCGCCGCCACCGCCACCGCCACCGCGGCGGCCGCCTCTTGTTCGCTATTTTTACCGTCGGGTGCGCGCGGCCGCTCCGGTTTCGGAGTCGGCGCCAAGACGGCCAGCGTGCCGGTAAACAGGAACGCTGGCCGGCCGTCTGGCGGCCAGGCCAAGGTGACTGGGCCAGCCAGCCAGCGAGCACGGTCGGTCCGACCCCGGCGGGCGGGCCCCTCCAGCCGCCCCCGACCCCGACCCCGCCGTCACCGCCCCCGTACCGTACCGACACGACGGCGGTGTGCAAGTCACCGGCCCTCCGAGCGACTGAGGGAGCGCACGGGGGAGCGGGCGGGTTTTCCTTGGTGACGGTGCTGTGCTGACCAGGGTACTTACATACTGACTACTACTCTCTGACTACTCGTTGCTGAGTACTCTCCGGGTACAGTACCGGGCCCGCGGCGGTGGCCGGCCGGCCGGTATCGGCCCCGGACCCGGCCGCGGCCGCGTGGGAGGCACCGACTGGGTCCGAGCAGGTTCGGGCGCACCTGCCCCGTGTGAGCGGCACCACCGGCCGGCGGACAATCAATCGGCGCCGGCTGACGTCAGCGGCCGCCGGTGCAGCCGCACGGCCCCTCTGTGACGCCTGACGTCAGCGCACCGGCCGCCGAGCGAGCGCAACTGGCATCAGCCGCCGGGCCGACACCAATGGCGGCTCGCCCGGCGCCCGCTCCCGGTGGGGTGGCCTCCGGAGACGGATGGCGTCGGAAAATGTGCGCACTTCGGCCCGAACGCGGCCGGCTGGATGGGTACAGGCAGTGTCGTGTGACTCATCAGCTGTTGGTTTCGCAATGAACGCGGAACGAAACGGGCCGGGCTGGTGGCGCGCAGTGCACGGAGCCCAAGGCTCCCAAAGCGGGCGGAAAGTACGGAAAATCCGATGCCCCGACCTTTTGTTTCTGCTGGGGTAATGCGGCGTATGTGTGGTATCGGCTAGTGGGAGCTGGCCGACGTGGGGAAACTCCCACTCACTCCCGAGCCGGAGACCAATGAACCGTACCTTCAACTCTGAAATCGCCGCGGCACAAACTTCAAAACTCCGACGGCCTTCGCGTGCTGCACGCGTCAGCTCACTTTCTCGTGCGATCGGTGCTTTCATATTTGATATCGCTATGATGAGTTCAATTTCTGGAACTGAGCACCCAACCGTGCAGCGTTCTACGCACCTGTTTTCGCGACCTAAAAACCCCGAGCTGTCTTGCTCTCGTTGGCTCCGACTCTCACCTACTCTTCTTATCTCCCCTGCTGCCTGAGTTCTGAGTACTTACCTCCCCACCGTCCTTCATACACTCTAGGATCGTGAGTGCTGACATCATGCCCCCGCTGCCTTCCCTTCACACACTGATGGAGCGCGATTACTGCCCACTACTTTGCTGTCCCCCAGACACCAGTGGAGCGATGTACTAACCTCCCTCTTCGCCTCCCTGCAGACCCTGAAGCGGAAGGAACGAGAGTGTGAGCACGAGATGGAGCGTCTGGCGCGCGAGAAGATCGCCAACCAGCAGCGTCTGGCGCAGTTGAAGCGCGACCTCAGCGCCAAGTGGGACCACATCGACTTCAGCCAACTGCTGCCCGACCCCACGGCCAATAACGACAACGACTCCAACTCGACGCTGTCAGCCACCGGTGGGTTCACTGGGGGCGGTGGGTTCACTGTTCGGTGGGGTGGGTTCACTGCTGGGGGGGGGGGGGGGGGGGGTCGCTGGTGGGGGGCGGTGGGCTCGCTAGTGGGAGTTCCCGGTGGGTTCATTAGTGGGAGGTCCCGGTGGATTTGCTGGGCGCGGGTGGGTTCACTGGTTGGGTGGGGGTTTCGGTGGGTTTGCTGGTGGGAGTTCCCGGAGGTTTCGCTGGGCGCGGTGGGCAATGTAGGAAATAAGGCCCTTTGCTGGCCCCAGTCGGGTCCAAACGATTTTGTTCTCCTTCACAAATTAATACTCCGGCATCTGAAATCTCTTAAATTTCCAGCCTGTGTGACGAAAGGCTGCTATTATTACGTCTTAAACATGCAGTTATAGCATTGAGAGATCACATTTTATCAACTGTCACATTTAGTAGGCCAAACCATGCTAAACATATGATTTTCCTGTTGAATGTTCTAAAAACTTGATGGTTCTCCGGACATTTATTCTCCGCGACCAGGACCAAAATTTACAGTTCCAACATTGGCGGTGGGTTCCCTAGTGTGCTCTGCAGCATTACGTGCGGGGAAGAAGGTGTTTTGGCACGGTTGCTCCTTGTGCATACGTTTGCTGGTGGGTGTAACTGGAAAAGATCGATTAGAATGGGCATATGAGCGCCTGACCTTTCGACACTGAGCATTCAGTCATCGTGCTGGTGCATTCCTCGATAGCGACCTCCATGTGTGCAATGTGCAGTGTGCACGTCGTCCGTCCCACTGGGCGTTCCCCGGAGTGTCGTGACCGCCGGCCGTGACCGGTGGCCGGGCGGGCCGTCATATGTTGGCCCACTGAGGGACACGCGGCTGGCCCGGTTCGATGGCGCCGATACCGGCCGCGGTGGTGCGGTGACGCGCGCTCCGATCGACGGTGCGTGCAGAGCGAGGCTGGCGGGGCACGCACACGCTGCGCCGCGCCGGTCACGCACCCACGCACACGCGAACCGGCGATGCGCACAGTGGCGTGACGTGTGAGGCTCAGTGGGAACGAGGGAGAACGTTTAATTCGCGGTGACTGTTGTGGCAGCGTTTGAATGGTCTTTGTGATTGGGAGGTAGATCGAGTGAAGTCAGTTCTATGTCAAGGTTAACGGGAACTATGGAGATGAGCTCGGCTGAATGAAATCCACCCAGTGTGGCTATGCAGATATTATGCTGCGCGCTTTTCGCGTTAACAGAACAAAGGCAGAAGGCTGGCCGGGCCCGCGGCATGCTTCTGCATACTGTGACGGGTCGCTTTGAAGTCTAGCTTAGACCTGAACCACGCCGCGTTTACGTAATGCTGTCACATTATAGGCTAGGCAGAGTGCAGTCGCTACCGCTCGTTAGCGTATATGGAAACGTGACACGGAATTATTTCCCCCGTCCCGTAGTGGGGTCGCTGTTATCTTGCGCTGGTGTTGTCCGACCCGACTCTGACTTCACTGACTGCCTCTCGTTTCTCTGTACGACACTGAGCTCTCCGTCCCACATGGGAGCTGCTGTATCCCGTACTGGTGTCGGCGACCTCCGACTCTGACCTTGACTCCGACTCTCCTCCGCCAGAGTCTCGACTGGACGGCGACTCGTACCAGGCCAGTCCGGAGCGCGAGCTGGAGCCGCCGTCTCCGGAGCCGCGCCGGCGGCCGGCCGAGCGGCCCGCCGCCGCCAGTCCCGCCTACCTGGGCCACTCGTCGGGCTACTCGTCCAGCTCTCCGACCGTTGCCGCCTCGGCACCCCCGCTGGGCGGCGGCGGCGGCGGTCAGCCGGCCGGCCTGGCGCGACTGGCAGCCATGGCCTCCAGCCAGCAGAAGATGCTCTCCTCCGGCGGCCACAAGGTGTCGGTGGTGCAGACGACCGCGGCCGAGACCGACGGTCGTGGCCGGCCCGATACCGACGCTCAGCTCCTGCATGCCGAGCACGGTCAGTGGGGCGTTCTCAGTGGCGTGCCGGGTTGTACAGAGGCGGGCTGGGGGAGGGGTTATGTAGAGTACAACGTACAGCAGTGATTGGCTGGGAGAGTTGCAGCCGGCCACTGTGATGATTGTTGGCTGGTGTTGTAGCTGGGTTAGGTATTTTGTTGTTTTTGCTGGTAAACTCTGTTGTAAATGTCATGCTGTGGGGAGTTGTGGCTTGTGTACCTCTCTGCAGCCCTGGTATTGTATGGGACAGACTGGGAGTGCCACTCTTAGACTGCAGAAGCAGTGTTTGGGGTCGTGTTTACCTGACCTCAGCTACATGACGCCTACATGCCGTAATGCGACGCGTCATCTCTGCGGTTCTCGATAGTATTTTAAGGCTGTCCGTATGACTGATGTTTATTGACTGGTTACTGGTCAGTCTAACAAATATGGGCCGGTTATATGACCTGAACAGGAGTCTGCAGCTGTGCTGTGCTCAGACTACCCTCCGTGCCGCTCTATATGACTTGTCATCTGACCTAGCGGTCGCCGGCTCCTCACAGGTGTCCAGTACGTGCCCGTGACGGCGCTGTCGGAGGTGGGGCGGCCGCCCGCCACCGTCTCCTATGTGGAGCAGCCCCTGGACGCCTCGCGAAAGGCGCTCGTGCTGGAGACGGTGCCCGGCCACATCGTCAATGCGCAGGTAAGGAATATAGGGACGGGCGAGGGATGGGGGGGGGGGGGGGGGTCGGTGCTGCGGGAAAGGGAAACTCGGGTCAAGTCCCACTGCAAGGTTATAGAAATATGGAGATATGTTGGATATGATGATGGTATCTGTAATGGAGGTTAAGAGATCCCCAGAATAGACAAAGGGTTCGTGAAAGTTGTTTGTACTGTATAATGAAAACGGTTGCGAATATTTGCCGAGTGGGTTATCTTTGAATATGCTCTGGGCTGGGCTATGAATATAAGCCGCTTGTCTCGGAGGCATTCACTTTCCTTTCGGCATTTTACTTCATTTCGCTTGATCTGATGTACTGCCTTCTAATGTGTTATACAACCGCACCTGCCGTACTCTGGCTTGTGGGTTCGTACCTCGTACTGTCTCTCCCACACTGATATCAGGTGTCTGCCTGTGACCCTACCGGTTGTTTGTGACCCTTGTGTCTTATACCTGCCTGTGACTGTCGGCTGTGACTTCTGTGTTTGATGCCTGTCTGTGACTCTACCGGTCGTGACTCATGTGTCTGATGTCTGTCTGTGACTACCGGCTATGACTCCTGTGTCTTGTGTCTGGCTGTGATTCTACCGGCTATGACTTCTGTGTCTGATGTCGGTCTGTGACTCCTGTGTCTGATGTCTGTCTGTGACTCTACCGGCCGTGACTCCTGTCTCTGCTGTCTTAAACTCTACCGCCGCCGTTTGTCTGACCCCTCCCCCTCCTCCGGCAGCTGATGTCCTCGGCGGCCGGCACGGTGCGGCTGAGCAGCGCCGGCGTACCGAGCGTCCAGCTGACGGCGGCGCCGTCCTCTCTGCAGGTGCTCACACCGGCCGGCGTGCGACTGGTGGCCGCGCCCGGGCCGGCGCACCACGCTTCCGGCTCCGGTGAGCTAGCGAGCTAGGTCGGCTGTTAGGTGAGCTATAGAGTGGTGAGCTAGCGCTCTAGGTCGGCTGTTAGGTGAGCTATAGAGTGGTGAGCTAGCGCTCTAGGTCGGCTGTTAGGTGAGCCATAGATTGATGGGCTAGTGTGGGAGGGATCTTTGTTGGGTGAACTAGTGTGCAAAGGTCCATTCTTAGGTGAGCTACAGGCCGGTGAACCAGAGAGCTAGAGTCCGCTCTTAGGTGAGCTATAGGGCGGTGAGCCAGAGCGCAAGGGTCCGCTGTCAGGTGAGCTAGCGCGCTCGGGGCCCCTTTGTTGGGTGAGCGACAGTAAGTGTGTTGAGCTATCACACTATGTTTGAGATGTATTATGAAACTCCCGTGAGTCATTTTGATTGGTGACGATGAGTGACTCATTTGTGTGGCTTGCATTCATGTATTTATCTTGATTGTCAAACGGTGGTCATGCCAAGAGATCCGGCCATTGACAGATAAAAATCGTGCAGCCGTAATACGCTAGACCACCGTAATCCCACGAACTCGACTGGTTCAGTCGATGTTTCTGTATGGCTTTAGTCACCAACCTACCTCAACATTGACGTGTCACAAAATGACGTTCGAACACTCAGTGAACCACTACGCACAATTCGGAAACCCCACCAGCATGTCATGGATCGTTTCGAAATCCCATCATTTACCGCTCATCACCCGTTTTGTGTTTCTTTCAGGTGTTTATGTGAGTCCCTCCGTCGCTGTTGTTCGCTCGGTGTGTCTGACGACTTTGTTCTCTCTCCGACAGCAGCGGTGATGGCCACGACCTCTGGCGGCGCGCAGCGCTCGGTGCTAACGCTGCCGCCACGGACGGCCGTGCCACTGCCGCGAGCGGAGACCGCCCCCAGCGCCGGCAAGGTGGCAGGTGAGCGGTGACTCGGGGCAGGGGACGGGGCGGACTGGTTGGATAGGGAACCTACTGAGAGCGGAACAGAGGGTACCGAGGACAGGACTCAGCCAACTGAAAAAATATGAGGCAAATGGCTCGCTAGATGGTAGTATCGTGTAGGGATGGGACCTGCGTAGCGGGCCGAATAGCTGAATGCTCTGGGTGGGGAAGTTTAATATGCGCCTAGGTGGAAGTCATGAAGCAGACGACGAAGCAGCCACTCATGTAGCAGACGAAGTAGCTACAAGTAGACGCAGTATGTCTATGTGAGGAGGAGTGGGCGGGTGATTTAGCGGTCATGAGTTGGGAACGGCAAAGTTTGTCCGCTCGGGGTAGAGCAGAGCGTGGTCCGAGATCCTGGTGCGCTGAATCCGGGTGTTAACTGCCCCCGAGTCGCATGCGTCCCGGTCCGAACTCGGGGCGGTTTTTCGGCCGGCTCTGCTCCCCGAGTTGGAGCGGTTTCTCGGCCGGTGTGACTCGCCGAGTTGTGTGCACTGTGCAGTGTGCACCGAACCCGATGACCTTTAGCTGCCGGCCGGCCGCCGGGCGGTCGTTTGGAGCCGGCGGCCACTCGGTGTGTGCCCAGTTGCCGGGCATCCGTTGCCTATTGTCGCCAGCTGGGTCGATGCGGGCCGACTCACTTTAAAGTATAATCGAACTGGGACGATGGTTTCTTCGCCCAACGACAGCCAGGCGGCGATATGAGGGTACTTAATGTCGCCAAAGCTAAGGCTCTGCATCATGCTAAGGCCATTTGAGGCTGCTTTTTGTTAGGGACGCTCGTTCAAATTCTTTGTTCCTAGCAAGTAGCTTACGACCGTCTTAATGCGTATTTTGGGTCGCCGGTGTTGCCTTAGCAGTTAGCACTACCCGGTGACCTTATCGCTGAGCTGACCGCTGACTGGCCACCAATAATGACCACTGACCGCTGTCCACTGTCTCCACTGCCCCACAGCACATCTTTACCTTTTACGGGCTTTGGTTTACTCCTCTGACCCCTGAAGTCACGACCTGTCCCTCTAACCGTCTTGTTCCGTTGACACATCCCTATCAGCCATCCCTCTAGCCCTTTGACCCGCCTTTCTGACCTAGCCCTCTGACGCTCTGACCGTCCCGTTCCTCTGACGCTCTAACCTCCCCTCCCCTCTGACCCGCGGCCCTGACCATCCCGCCTCTCTGACTCGCTTCTCTGACCTCCCCGCCCCTCTCGACAGCCGTGTCGGGCCTGACCCAGCTGGTGAGCTCCCCGCTGCCGCGACTGGTCACCCAGCCGGTCACACACCTGGTGGCATCCGCCGCGCCTGCCACTATGACCGTCCTCGGCCAGTCCAAGGTGAGTTCGGCGCCGCTGAGCTGCCCACTGCTGGGATTTGGCAGGGCGTGGGGAGGGACGGGGTGTGATGTGATTGGGAGGAGAAAAGTTTGAGACAATCGAGGAGTTCATTTATCGAGGGGTGATGATGTTTCTATTATTCATTATGCTGTTTTCTATTTCGTTTTCTTTTTCTGGGTGCACTTTATTTTCAAATGTCACCCATTTCCTCTATATTGCAAGCGGCAAAGACTAAGGTATTTCACTTTTACTTTCATTGTTTTAATTTTTTAAACATAAACCAAACTATATCGATCCCTTCCCTCCCTTTGCGACGATCCGAGCCCTCCTTTCAATTCAATAACGCGTCCATTGGCGACCGCCCGCACCTCATCATCGCCCATCCCGGCCAGTCTGCGGTCTGGGCGGGGTGTTTTCGGCCCGGGGCTGAGCCCGTGTCCGCGGGGCTGTTTTGCCGCCGCGGGGCCCATTCTGGCCACAGCGGGCCGATTTACGGTGCCGCAGAGGCGCCGTTTGTGCGATAGATGGCCGCGTCTGGCCTGAACAGCAGTAATCCGCTGATGGCCGGCCGTCAGAGCGATCCCGTCCTCTGCTCTCCCTCTCCGGCACTCTACCTCCTCTCCGTTCGTCTCACGAACACACGCTGTCGGAGTGTTGGCTAGTGACAAGTCACACTTTGCGTATCATCTTTGATTTTATTTTATTCATGATCATTTTTATTGGGGTTGGCATCATTTCTGTCGCTCTTGAATTCCGTACTCCACCTTTGCACATACACACACACCTTGAAAAAGTCATCACGCAGGTTGCTAACCTATTATATTCCTCCAGCATTGTGTTTTGGCTGGGATACCCCTCCGCTCCTGCCTGCCCCAGTTGCCCGCGCGCCGCTCTTCCATCGTCCTCGTCTTCCCGTCAGTCTTTTTCCGCCGTCAGTCGTCTGCCCGCCGTTCCGCCGCCATTGTGTCGTCGCTCCGCCTATGGTCGATCGGTCTCCGTCCTCTGTGGACTCGTGTCTCCCTTCCCTGGCTAACTTGTGTCTCCGTACACTGAGTCGTGTCTCCTTGGCCGACTCCCGTCTCCGGCTCCGGATGACACCTGGCTAGATAATGTCTCCTCGCACCAACAGTTCCCGTCTCTGTCCCGACTGACGCGTGTCTACTCAGCTGATACCTTCAAGACCTCCATTCCTGGCTGACGCATGCCTCCTGTGTCTGACTGGAGTTCTATAACCTTGGTCTGACTCCCGTCTCCGTCTCCGGCGATTCCTGACTCTCCGGACTCCTGACTCTTATCTCCGTCTCGGTCTGAATGTTGTCTCCGTCTCCTGGTGCTGCCGCAGGTGGTGAAGCAGCTGCCGGTCATCTCTCCGTACATCACCACTGCCTCCCAGGCGCCCAGTCGACCCATGGTCGTCGTCTCGGCCGCCGGCCTCCTGCCAGTCACCAAACACTAGGCGGCGCCCGAGAGAACCTCAAGTTACCGGCGCGGCGCATAGGTGGCAGCACCGATAGCGGTGGGACGGGTTGCCGCGTGGCGCCCTCTGGGATGAGTAGGTCGAGCCGGGGAGGACCTATCGGTCGGCTCGGGAGAAGGGTGTGGAGGCGCCACTGCTGGGGGTATGCCTGCGGGGACATGGCTGCTGTTTCTATGCCATCACAAACGTCCCCTCTAAGTAGAGTTCTGCACGGCTGCAATTTTCCACAGCCTAGCCGCCCCGCAGCCGTGGCTCCACAGCCACAGCCGCCCACAGCCGTGGCAAACTGTGGGCAGCCAGCCGTCAGCCGGCCGTGATGAAATGCAACCAAATAGTATATAATAAGTTGTTTTTAGTTGAAACATATAGCCAAAAGCACATTGCAATGGGCTAGAGATTCTCAAGCTCATGAAGCATCATAGGCTAAGTGGTTGTGTATCTGGCTTTAGGCCGAAGGCCTGAAGCCTGATGCGCATCGCATGCCTACACAAGCCCTTGCAAGGGGTTAAGAAAGATGGGTAGGTTAGGTAAGGTAGGTACCTACATCAACAGAAAACATAAACAACGAACCAGAATAGAAGCACTAGCAGTGTAGAATAGACATCTAATGCCAAATCCTGAAGCATGGTTGTGGGACAGAACAACAGACCCTGATGCTTTTCATTATCAATGTTAGGTATGGAAAATGAAACTGAAGTTGATGGACAAACAGTGATTGTCTAGTCAAAACTCTTGCTTCTTTCTTACCCTGCATATTTTCTGGGGTGTGATATGCCAGGCTTGAAGCAACCTTCTGAGCAAGTCTCCAACTAATTTGATATGCAAGGCATCAAAACACTAGTGAGCATCCAAGAAAGAAAAACATTCATCTATTTTGATTTTTCCAAATAATGATCTTCGCTCAAATCCCCAAGGACGTGCGATTGCTCTTTCAATCAAAAATTTTACTTGAGTCAAATGACGTAAAAAGCAAAGAAGTGGCAATAAATTGTTTTGTGTCACCATAAACAGCCATAGAAATCATAATTAATCAATAATAATGCTATACAGTTAAAAATTTGCTCTCAAACAAATATCAATTATCAAATTTTTACATTTTTAGAGGAAGACGTCATTATATTAGTAAAATCAACAGCTCGCGTAAGAAATATTGTGTTCAGGGTTTTCACCGTCATGTGAATTACGTGTTCAGGGTTTCCACCATCATGTGAATTAACCGTAAATAAGGTTCATACTCACTTATAATCTAATTCCATTGGCTTCGTTGATCAGCATTTTCTGTTAGCGGTCACTCACACGCCAGTTAGAACATAAAGCGCCAGTTTTATATTATGTAATTGGACTTGCCGAAAATCCAGAAGTACATCTAAGAGTTATTTTAGATAATATTTTATGAAGCCTTTACCTGCCTTTACCTAGGCGTGATTTCTTTTTCTATTACCTGAAAGAATTATTGAACGCTCATCTTCAATAGCTGTAAGGTGCTCTCCTAATGACCAGGTAAGATTGAGATTGATTTGAGGGGGATGTGACAGCAACATGTTGCATTTTCTGAAACTGTCAAGCTATTGATGATGAAGGAACAATTGGTGCCTATAATTAGTATTCTGTACCAGAGTGCAAACTCTTCTACAGCAAATGGTAAAACCATTACAGGTTTTCAAAGGCTTCACCACTTTCAATATTGCTGGGCATCCTTTGCATGATTTTTACAGGCTAGGCTGCTTATCAGAATGTAAGATTAAGGATTTAAAATTTTATATTTGAGTACTTAAGATTGAGCTTGAAATCTCACAGCCGTGGCCACAGCCGTAGCCGTGTTCTTGGAGATATTTGCAGCCGCCCCGGCCCACAGCCGTGGGGCTGCAGCCAGCCGCGGCTGCAGCCGGCCGGTGCAGACCTCTACCTCTAAGTACTTCCCAGAGAAGCAGTCACAGGCTGACCACTTGTGTCGTGCAGTTGGGGAAGGTTGGTGGTCACGTCACCCAATGCGCCGCAGGGTCCACCAACTGCCAGCGGCGGCTGGTCGGTAGCGCCGGCCGACCTCACACCTCTACTCCAGAGGTCACAGGTCACCATCCCTCCTCAGACCTCCCCGGTGACCGCGGGGTCGCAGGTCGGCCCCCCAGTCCCGCCAGGCTGATCGGGACGATATTCCTCACCCGTTTTTATCTCTATCCATGGGCTCTACGAGGCGAGCCCGCCAGGGCATTGGTCTGTGCAAATCATAGCCTATGTAGCTATCATCATTCAGGGAGTGTGCACGTGTCTCTTGATGCTGACTTTCGATGAGCCATGAACGCTTAACGTCTCTTCTTTCCTGACGCGGAAGGGTGGTGCGTGCTCTTTCTGAAGAAGTCTAGGTAGTCCGGCCGCCGGCGCAAAATGTGGCGATCGGTCGCATCTACCGTGTAGATGCCTTGCCCAAGCTTTCGCCCTTGATTCGATCGTTGAGAGAGTGTAAGTCGCAGTGTTGGACTGGTAGATTAGCGCGGAAATCAGGATAAAATGGCGGAGACGCAACGCGGTCACCGCCCGAAAAATATCTCCCGTAGTGGTACCCTGAATAGGTCAACTATTGTTGCTGTTACGATCATGTGCCGGTGGTTGTCAAGGCCGCAGCGATTGGGTTATGACGAGGGTGGGACGATGCTCACAGACCTGCGAGCCACATAATATTGAGACGAAATTGAACTTGTCTCAGTGGAATTTGCACATGCTCGGAAGTGTTCCCGGGTGAGGCAGAATCCAGAATTCAGCATGGTATGGTCGTTGCAAACGATTAACACATGGCTTAAGCTTCTCCTTTCTTTTCCATACGCCTCGAAAAAGTCCAATGCGGATTGATATTTCACACGCGCTGATTATGTGGAAGCATGGTTGAACTGGGTCCTCGTGAGACAAAAACAGCAGTGTGTTTTCGGGTGCAGCGACTCTCTGATCCGTTAAAGAAATCAAAGTTTTATTCCGCGACCGAGCCGGGCGGTCCAATGGACTGGAAGGCGGGCTTCCAGGCGTATCGTCCAACCAGCTCCGATAATACTATCCCAATGTCCAACCACAATCGGCATAATTGTTCAAAAGAACGAAATGTTTTTCGTTGCACGTGGGGCGACTTCCACGGGTGGGGATCCTCGCCGTTCTAAAGTGAAGCTGGCGACAGGTGCTTTTTTCTCGGAGGGTGGATCCTCTGGGCACGCTGGGCGCATCGGTCCACCGCGCGGCGCCATGCAATGTTCATGTCATGCCTAGTACAACACGGCCCGGGCGCGGGCCAGGGGAGGGGACGGACGGGAGGGGTGAGACTGGAGGGGCGCGGGTGGCGCACAGGGACGGGTGTGGCGCTCGGGGTGTTCCCAGTCGCCGCGTCTGTGATGGCAGGGCGTCGGCGGCCGGTCCGAGCGAGCCTGACCTCCCAGCGCTGCTGTGGTCCGAGCGGCCGCCGGCGGCTGCGGCGCGGCTCCCCACCAGACGGGGTGGGACGGACGGCACCGGGGCCCGGGCGGTGTCTTGTCCTGTCGACCGGCGCGCTGCTCGTCTGTCTCTGGATGGGCGGGTACGGTGGCCCGTCCCAGTGCCGCCCGCCCTCGGCCGGTTGGTGGTTCAGTTATGGTGCTCTGTGATATTCCTGTTTGTGTATGGCGCGTTTGTTTGCTGTGAAGAAGCGCCGTCGCGGTCCGGGCTCGGCGCTCTTGTTTTGGCCGCGTGACGGCAGCAGCGGCGGCTCTGTTGGGTTTGTTTTGTTGAAATTTTATCTCTATCCCTCCTATCGCCCTCCGGCGCGGCGACACTGGGGCGCTGGAGTGTCGGGTTAGGGACCCGCAGAGCCGTCGGGCTGGTGGTTCTCCGGCGGCCGGAACTGTCGGCTCTGAACTGCGCTGCCGCCCGCGGTGCTGGTGGGGCGCTGCGGGTGTGTGCTGTGTGTGAGCGGACGGCGACGGCGCGCCGCCGGACGGCTGTCCAGCGCCGCCCCCTCCTGCAATAACCCTATGAAGGAGAACACGGCGGTTGCTCGACCGCGCGCGACCACAGACCTCTTTCCTTGTTAGGCTTGAATTGTATATGGTGAATATCTAATGCTGTTCAGTATATTGTTGATTGTGTACCCTTACTGAAATACATGTCCACGATGCAAATGGCGGCTTTCCTGTGGATTTGAGCTATTTTGGAATGATATAACCAGGTGAGCTTATTAAAACAACTGCCATTTTTGCGAAAAGCTAAAATTGTCTCGCTGGGAAAATACCGGAACAATGCAGCGTCGGCTTTGTAACATCAACGTTCATAAGCCCTCTTTCAAAGCCGATGACGACATAATGCCTAAAGCCGGCAATTGATGTTGCCTTTCTTACTCTGTGTCATTTCAACTTCAAAATAGTTCAAAGGGCGTTTCATCATGGTATTTACTTTTATTATTTATCTAAGCAGCGTTAGAACTATTGATGACATGTGCTAGTATAGCGCCGCAGTTTGGTCGAGACGAATACTCGTTACTGAAAGTTGGCTCAGTTAACCGTAAAACGATTGGCGTTCAAGGAAAGCAAAAGTGAATGACAGTACCCACTTGGAAACCGGAACATGAGATCTCGGGGCAGCGAGAGATGGTCAAGGGTCTTAGAACGTGCCAAGGAAGTAGCAACGCGGAGTGTCTACGAGAGAAGCACGAGCGGACCGGTTGCATCGAGTCGCCCTCGCAGATGTCCCCCCGATCGTGGCAGACGGCGCCACTGGTCGTGTTGTGCTGTGGGACAGACGGAGGTCGCCGCCTCTCGGTCACCGGAGACCAACTGTCGACGATTCCGCGGCCTCGTCCTGATCTTCATAGCGTTAGTGGTGTTCATTATTTTCTGCGATCTTCTTGTTGCAGTAACCGAAGGTTTGTAACCGAAGGTTAAAACATTATACGTTGGAAATTATAATTGCTTTCTACTGAAAAACATGAGTTTCCTGACATCTCAGTTTCCTGACAATTTTGCAAAAGCTGCCTGAGATCAGCTATTCTGATGGATGCTGAACTACGAACGGCTGCTACCAATTAGATACCCGGTGTATGTTGTTTCCACAAGGGGTGCGGAACCACAAGCATTGGCCGATCCAAAAAGATAGTCTTGGAAGCTTCGGGGGGCATATCCCCCAAAAAAGTTTCTCCAAATAAAAAAAACTAATCGGATTTCAATTCCTTACGCACTGTTGTGCTGTTTAAAACAAACTGTTCCTCACAAAAAAAAAAATGTTTATCAACTTTTCGTTTTATTCTCCAAAACCGCAAATTTTCGTCGGGTTTCGGGCGTTGCGGGGGGGGGGGGAAATTCGTCAGGTCATGAAAAGTCTCTTCAGCGTTTTTTTTTTGCAGCAACTTTAACAGAGACATGCTTAAACGGCGAAAGCACCTTGGATGTGTTCAGCTCAACGATAAGCATCGAATGCTTTGCAACATAACCTTTTCCGGTCAGAATATGGCGTTGATTTTAGGTAATTTTTTCAAAATGACATTTTAGGTCAAACTATTCGATTTACTAACTATATACTACTATTTAGGTCATTCGACGCATCTTCGCGAGAGAAAAACGATGCCGGTAATATCAGTGTCGTGCATGTTTTGAGTCAGAAGTTATTGCAGAGAAACGTTAATTAACTCTCGCACTGATAAGGGGGGACCCCCTCGGTTTTTCGCGACTGACTAGCGCAAAAAGCAGCTGATCGCGACGAAACTTTCAGTACCCTTGAGTTAATCAATTTTACACATACCCTAAAAATTTCATGACCCTGACGGGCCTGACCCCAATGACCTTTGACCTGTGGCCTGTTTCTCGCGATCATGTTTGGCCGGAATCGCGATTCGGCGTGTGTCGGCTCATTTTCGCGTTTGCAGTCTTTTTGTGGTTTTAAACGTTCAAACATGTGAAATGATGTTGGTCCCATGCATTTCGGTGGCCGTCAAGGTCCTAGTGAAGGTCAAGTCAGGCCATTGACCTTTTTTATAATTTTAGTCCGAACCTTTTGATTGGAAGGATTCACAAGAACAGAGTCCCCGCTAAGCGAAGCTTGTTGCGTTGACCCTGCTCTCTACCCTCCGATCGCGCAATTCCGGTTCTATTGCAGAATTTAGAGTCCAAAGTTTAACGTGTGCCCTTAGCCGCGTACGGCCGGTCCCCTCACTGACTTCACCTGGCTACGGCCTGCCACCAACCGCAACCATACCTGTCAGGAGGCCCGTAGACGTCAAACGCCCGTCGCGCTTCTAACCTGGACTGTAACTGAGAACGCGTGCTAGCCTCTCACCACGTGGAGTCCAACGCTCTACCAGGCACCAGCTGAGCTACGGGACCGGCTACTATATTGCCACCTACTATGAATACTCGGCAGGACGCCTACTGGCTGACCTGACCTGACTTGACCCGACCTTGCCAATGCATGAATACATCATCTGTGATAAAAAAGCATGAAATGCGTGATCAGCATCCCAAAAACCGTATAATAACCTTACTGTACGAAGTTCTTATAGGTCCCGATTTTCCCGACTTTTTGGTCATTGACCTGACCTGGAAGGTCAACCAATGACCTAGGATCTTAAAATCAGGTATTGTCAGCTTCCTCTCGTCACGCGCAGCACGCTCGTTTTCCGCGTAGCTCTACCCCGATAAGGGGTCGAACGGCAGAGGGGGAGTCCAACGGACCCTCCCCCGTATATTCGCGGCTGGCAAAACACCAATACGGGCAAGGGTTGAAAAACGTTAATTTTGACATTTTTTGTCCTCAAGGCCGTAATTCACACCTGAGAGCATTGCCCAAAAAGCGCTTTAAAAGAGTTAACAACTTCGCTCCGCAGCGCTGTAGTCGTTCACGAGTTATGCGCCGATTTCTCGAATGTTGTCGAAATTCGCGAAATTTGACCTACAGCGACCCCGAATGACAGGTGACCTTTAAAGTGACATGAAATTGGCCGAAATGATTCATTCATGTTTTTTTTTTTTTTGACGCTCTTTTGAACTCCACCTCGCCTACCGCTTGCTGCTGCGTGGCCCAGGAGCCGATTTAGAAGGCAGAGGATGGTCACTCCCCCCCCCCCGCCCCCTCCCCTCCCCAGAAGGGCGTATAAATCCGGTGGCGCAGCGCGGCGCGGGTATACCGCTTTCATTCTTCGTGGCTTGAACACAAACGGAAGTTTGGTGCGGTCTCCCCACAGCGCTGCAAGCGAATGCCCGTGTGGCAGTACGCGCTGTCTGTCCATAGATGGCGTTAGTAGTCTATGCCTGGGTAGGTAGACTGTACCGCAGGGCACGGCGCTGGAGTGGGCAGACTGTACCGCATGGCACGGCGCGGAGTCGCGCCCGGTGGCGGCTCGGGCTGACACAGCGCGGCGATGAAACCGAGTGATGTGCGAGGTTCGTGCGCTAGGAGTTGATATGACGATGTGGCGTGACTTCCAGTGTTGCTCACCAGTGTAACGACTTCGAGTGCTATGTCAGTTTAGAGAGTCAGATCATGGAGAGTTAGATCATTGCCAATTTGACATGTTTGCATTTCTTCGGAAAAATCCGGTGCAACGGGACCCTAACACCGTGGTGAATATTGCTCTGCCATAAGTCTTTTCACTTACAAATCGACCGCAGTCGGTTTTTCACAAATAAGTAACGTAAGAGTGGCGGAAAACGACGAAACTTTTTGTGCCCTGGTGTTATCAACTTTATTTACACCCTCCCTGACAATTTTATGACCGAAGCCACGAAGCAAATCAGTTTTTTCCTCTTAAGTCTTTCTCGAGGCTACGTGAGGCCAGAAATAGAATACCTAGCGGTCGACGTTTACCAGCGCTCATTATCGTTGGTTTTCCAGACTTTCAGCAATTACAAACATGTCAACGTGTGAAACGATGTGGATTAGGTATGGGGCCAAAGTCACTTGAAAGTCAGTTCAAGGTCATTGACCTTAGGTGACCTCGGTTGACTTTTTGTTTAATAGCTTCATAGATCGGGTGTTTGTGCTGAATTCAAATTTAGCGCCCGACCACCAAGTTAAACATTTTTTTGCGCCAGTGTAGCATGATGCGAAGCTGTCAGGGGTTGTAAACGCCTTTTCTGGATAGCCGGCGGGACCGCTCAATGTTTGATCCGACCTACCCCAAATGCATGAATGCGTCATCTTAACGGCGAAATTCAATCAAATAAAAAGGCGAAATTCGAAATCAGGACCCTGAAACACGCGCAAGTCTACCTCAATAAGTTCTAGCAGATCCCGATTTTCCCGACATTGACTCGACGTGGATGGTCAACCATTGACCTTGGACCTTAAAAGTGGTTGTCATCGAATCATCGATATCCTGTCGTTACGGGTCATGCGCCCGTTTTTCCGCGCGAAGCTCTAGCTTGATCAGGGAACGAACGGCTGAGCAAAATCACCCAACGCGACCTATATGTTAGCGGCTCTTTATTTCTATGTTAGCGGCTCATTACTGACGAGTGTTGATGTTCGTGTAATATATAATAGGTGCAATAATTAATGCGTGATATCAACAAGCATACACACAGCATATGCCTGCATTGTCTTGCGCAATGCATATCGTACGTCTGAGTGATGCGTCCTTATGTTTCTTCTCAATAATCTGACAGAGCGGTGTTACATAACGTGGTACTGTAATGGAAACTTATGCCCATCAGCATTTCTGAGAAGTAGCTTCTCCTCAATCAGCGATTTCCTGCCAATCGGTATGACGACTTATTTAGCAGAATAACTTTGACCTGCACGTGAAACAAGTCATTCAGGTGGATGTCAGATTCAGTGTAATTTTCCTGGACTGATACTAATGGGAAACTGGAATTACTGCCTCGTTGAATGAGCTTATTCTTAGTAGGTATATTTTTATTAGTTGACACTAACTACTCACTACTAAGTGCTGTTATGCCTGAGTGGGTGCGTTTGAGTGCAAGGTGCATGTCCTTATGTTAAGCAAACATCGCCTTACATGCTTGAATTTGTGCACCGTGCAACTGTTGAATAAAACTGATTCTGGAAATGGAGACTTTGGGCAGCTAAAATAGCGTGCCTCGGCTAATAGACAGCAGATTAATTTAAATCGTCGGGCGACGACGACCGTTCAAACTGAGCCAGTCAGTAGGCGGTGGTCGCGACAGACAGGTGGTCGCGACGACAGACAGCCGCGGAGCACGCACCCCCATCGCCCAACTGCAGCTCGCGTGACAGAGCGCCGGGTCCGATTTCGCACGTGTATTATAACCAGCAACATGAGTCAGTGACGGTAACGGGCGGTGGGCGCCGGCCACCCGCTCCCCAGGGCAGTGTCAGTCAGTACTCTGTATACCGGCTCCCACCGAGGCCCGACGTGCACAGCGTCCCACCTCCAAACATAGGTCAACGGCGACCCCGCCCGCGCGCCACCAGACACCCGCCGGCCCAGTGCCGCGCGACCGGCCCCGCCGCGTATGGACAATCATACGCATTGGCTGGTCACGGGGATGAAAACCACGCGGCAAACGAGCGAGACAACTGTAAACAACCACGTATGGCACACACGTTTCGTCTGGAACAAATGACAACTGTCCTGGCGCTTGCTTCTGTCACTTCGTGGTTCATGTATGTGTGTATGTGTAGTTATTTGCTTGTGTTTATATGAGTGGATGTATGTATGCGTGTGGGTTCATGTGGGTTGTGATTTTTATATTTTATTCAACAGACTACCTGAAAAGTATGAATGTAAGTATTTGGTGTCGACATTTTATGTGGTTCTTCCTTCTCGCTACATTATCTGTTTATGTGAATCAGCGTCGTTCAGTCTGGCATTTGCGCCGTTTTTCCCGCCCGGCCTGGCCTGTTGCAGTTGCCAGCCGCGTCCAAACGCCGTCACAAGCGCACCACCTCGTCACAACACGCGCACGGCTCAGTTCCTCCCAGCGGCCTCGGCATATCGGTAAAATGCGGCAGTGATTGTCACAGATTTTGTCGCGCGCGACCGCAGGCGGGCGGTAGGGCGGCCTGCAGTGGCGACACGGCCCACTTGCTGCCGCTGCCGACGCGGCTGTAGAAAAACGCGCGCGCCGTCTCCAAAACGCCGACAGCGCTGCTTGTACGTGGTCCGGCGGCGCCGGTCCGGAGGAGACGCGTGTCAGACGTGGCGGCCGCGTCACGTGCCTTGGCGCGCGCGCTCGGCGACCAGCGCCGGCCGGCGGCGCGCTGCAGTCGGCCGACCAAGCATTGAGCGGGGCCGGGGAGTCGGGCCCCCGTCCGACGCCCCGGGACAGGGACGCAGCCAGGGCAGCGGCGCGGACAGCCGGCCAGACACATTGAGTGGGGACGGTCGGACCGGAACAGCGGCCGACCGGAGACGGTGGGACCTAAAGGGCAGGGGCGCCCTGACTACTCAGACTGCTGCGGCAGTCGCTGGAGTCACACCGAAATGAACAGGTTTGGCGGCGATTTATGGAATAGTTTTTCGTCACAGTGCAATTTGCGAGTGGTCTGTCACGGCGCGTCCCTGGCTCCGTCCCTGGAGACACATAGTTCATATATCGATTGATGGGCTGCCGCGATAATACACTAAGCATGAGGTTCCTCCACAAATCCACCGCTCCACAAATGAACAAACATACAACGACGGTACCAAGGGACACTAATGCAGTGTTTGTGCTGAGCGTCAAATGTCTTCTCACTCAAGTAAAAAGGTAAGACGGTCTCTCACAACGCTCTCTACAGCAACACGCGTGGCAGTTGTGGACGCTGGCCGGGCCCGCGCCGCTCGGGTCGGCGCGTCACGGAACGCAGCAACACCGAACAACGACGCAGCGTTAAAGCTCTGTAGTGACCCGTCTGTACGCTAGCCTCAGCCGCGGGGCGGCAGCGCGCCGGCGGCGGCCCCGTTGCGAGGACCGCCGCCGGCGCTGTCAGTCCACGACCGCCGGCGCCGCGGCTCCGGGCCGGCGGCGGCGGCGGCGGCGGCGGCCCGCCCCGGCAGCACCAACAGCGGGTCGTGGCCCTCACCGGCGCCCAGCCACGTGCCGTGCTCACCGATAAATAGATCCGATTTGTCGACCGCAGCGGCCGCACGGAGCCAGCCGCTCGTCAAATTGGCCCCTTCGCCGACGGAAGGGCGTCCGAAGGAGCGGTGCCAGAGAAGACGGCCGGAGGGGCTCAGACTGCTAGTTACGGAGTTGGAGAGGCGTTGAATAAGGGCGGGTCTTGAGGGCGCATAGGGGCTATGGTTGGGAAGTGAAACGTGCAAAATCATGGTTTGGAAAAATCTGGTCTTGCTGCCCGAAGACATAGTGTTTGAAAGGAACTTTTTAGGAACTGCTAGTGCAACGGATTTGTATATGGAAAAGATGAAAGAATACTGGCGAAGGAACCAGTACAAGAGTTATGTATCAACAATCACAAATGCCAATTGAAACATCGTTCAATTAGCGTTCAATAGCTCATCTACGAATCATCAAATATGCACCTCAATGCATAAAATTATGCAGCACATCACGTTCAAACTCAATTTTTGTCCAACTGTGATACTATTTCGCGTCACCGGTTGTGAGTTCGTGACCATTTTCTAAAATAGTAAGGCAATAAGTCACCGGCCTCAATTGTTTATATTTTTCCTATTTTCTTTTTGGGGATAAGCTTTTGGTCATCCACGTTGCCAATTTATCGATTTTCGTTATTGTTGAGCCATTTTGATCTGCGGTGAAGTCGGTGCAGCCTTGTCCCCGATGCGCGACCGGTGCCGGCGACGTACGAGCCCGCGAAAACCACGCCGGTTATTGAGCCGTGGCGACCCGCGCGACGGCGAGCCGCCCACCACACACAGCAGCGGCCACAACAAACGTCTGTCCGGTCGCCGGTCACACGCGCTCCGGACGCCGCGCAAACGGCGCACCCCAAAATGTTCAACGTCAAAAACTACACCACCAGCTGCAGCTGAGAGTCCGCCGCGCCCGGGTGGCGGCTCGGTTGGCACTGTGCGCTTGTGAAGGAGCAGCTGCGGCGGCCGGTCGGCTCGGCGGCCGCCGCGGGGCCCGACTGTCGGCCGCCGGCCGCCCCCGATCAGAGCGACGAGTCCTCGGCCAGGCAGCAGGCGCAGCAGGTATTGCGCGCCGGCCGCCGCGCCGCCGGCGCCGGCACTGGCGCCGGGTCCAGCAGCACGCCGACCGTGCTGGGCTGCGCGGCGGCCAGCAGCCGCTCCTGCTGCTGGCGCGCCTGCAGCAGCTGGTCGCGCCACCTGCCCACCGTCTCGGCCGGGACGTAGGTGCTCTGCTCGGGGTCGGCCGGCGGCCCGTGCTCTCATTGAGAGGCCGGCGGCTCGGCGGCCGGCGGTGCCGGCGGCGGCGGCGGCGGCTGAGAGCGGCGCGCGTAGCGCGGGTGCTCGCTGATGCTGTGGTAGTGGCCGTGGTACACCACGCCGATCTCGCGCAGCACGTCGCCGCGGATGGTGGCCTTCAGAGTCCAGGTGCGGCAGTCGTCTCCGTCCAGCTGCCGCTCCATCCGCTCCACGTCCAGAATCTTGGAGCTGAGCCGCTCCAGGATGACGCCGATGTCCTTGATGCTGAGGTAGCGTGTCCGCTCCACGGACAGCTGGTCGACCAGCAGCAGCAGCTTGGTGCTGGTGCCCTCCTCGTTGGCGGTGTTGTCCTCTCCCTCTTCTGACTCGGAACTGTCGCTGCCGCCCACCGCGCCGCCCGCCGCTGCCGAGGTCGACGGCCCACCCTTGGCCTCGGGAGGCGCCGGCGCCGCCGCGGGCGCCTCCCGGAGCGTGCCGTCAAAGCGGACGTGGCCGGGCTGTCGCCGCGCGCCGGCCACCTCCTGGATCGGCGAGGTGGCCGCCGACTTGGTGATGGCGGCCGCCGAGGCGGGCCCGCCACCGACGCCGGCCCGATGCAGCGCGCAGCAGTGGAAGTCGCACGTCTTCTCGGCGGGCGAGCCGCGCGCGGCGTGGTGGTGATGGTGGTGGTGGTGCGCCGGCGCGCCGCACTCGGCCGTGTGCACGTGCGGCGCGGTGGCCGACTCGACCGAGCTGCCCTGGCGGCTGAGCCGGGCCGGGTAGGGCGGCGGCGCGCCGTGCGGCGGCACCGGCGGCGGCGCGTCCGGCGGCTCACTGGGCATCTCGCCGATGCCGCGCACCACCAGGTGGGGGCGCCGCTCGGTGCCGGGCACGCCGCGGCTCGAGTCCCAGTGCAGCTGCACCGTCACCTGCCCGCGGTTGTCGGCGATCTTCCAGGAGGGCGCCTCGTCCCGCAGGTCGAGCGCCTGCATTGTCTGGCAGACGATGCGTGGAATGCAGGTCAGCGCTGCCGGGACAGGAGGGCGATGGTCAGCCGCGGGCGGTGACACTGGACGCGCCTGGTCAACTGCCTAGGTTGTGTCGGAGTGCCAGGTGCAGCCTGCTGGTCGATGGAATATGATGCTGTGTAGCGGTGTAGCGGTTTCCAGTTAATCTGAGATACATACACGGATGAGAGTTTCATGCATGTATTCATATGCAGTTTTCCTGTCGTGACTTTTCAAGGGCAGGCAATCATAAGCTGAATTTGCCAAATATGCCGCTTGCATAAGGATCATGGTGAACTTTTGACCAGGAACAGGATACGCTTCAAACGTAGACGAGTGGACGCGGAAAATCACGTGCATATGATCACCGTATATATGTACATACTCTCAATGTGTAGATGCATCGATGCTTTTGTTTGATTTGGCGAGTTCCTCTGGCAAGCACGTAAGCCGAACAGAGAAAAGGTTATAGGATACGGCACATGGAATCTGCGTATCTTGCACCTGTTTCCAGAATATTGCGTTACTGTACTACCCACGCATAATGTGCCGTACCAATTGTTTGAAGCTTTGGCCTCTACTTTTTCGTTTCTACCATCGCTCCATGGAAATAATTGATGCTCATATCGATATGGAAGGTCTTTCATCAGCCGGGGTTAAACCCGTTGAAGGTTTGCCATTGGCAGTGCCAGTGGTTTTATTTTAATGTTCAGCTAAACTGAAGTCACAACAGAGGAACTGGTCAACTAAGGTCACTCCGGAAGGTCCTGAGGTCACACCAGAGCGATTGATCGCCACCTGAGGTCACAGCGCTGAGCTCTCACCTGCTCTGAGGACGTCGACGCCGGGCGGCACCCATCGGTCTTGCTCGCGCAGCAGCAGGAAGACGGTGTTGTCGGGCAGTGTGGCAAAGTACTCGGCGTCGTCCACGGCCGTGCCGTCCGTCTCCAGCACAGCCGACACGCTGCCGACGGCCTCATAGCGCAGCTTCTCGCGGCCTGCCGGCGGCGGCGACCGTGTCACTCAGGTGGAGGGATAACGCTGAGGCGACGGGGACGTCACTTAGTGGAGGGCACCACACTTAGTGATGGGCACCACACTTAGCGGAGGGCAGTGGGCACCACACCTAAGTGGAGGTGACGTCTTTTAGGTGCATGCAGAGGTAACGTCACTTAGATAGAATTCACATCGCTCAGACGGAGGTGAAGTCACTCAAACCGATATGTCGTGTCACTGAGATGATTGACTGGATTCAGACATCAACAACGCTTCTTAACGATGGATGGTGTCACTCAAATTAGGACACCACTTTTTTTCAATTAAACGAACAGGAGTTATAATGTGATATCGTAACTGCAAAAAGAAAAGACTGGAAGTCTAGACATTGTCGGCTATGTCGTCAGCTTTCAGACGGAAATAAGGAAGTTTGTTTTTAAAGGGATTTGGGTCACTACCAAACCGTCCCTGATCGGCTTGTTTTTTGTTCTAGTGCTCTAAAAATACAGTTGCCTCGGTGGTTAACGATGTGGCATGCTTGTACGGGGCACCCTTTAAACACGCACTGTGGAAGGGGGGGGATTTCGCCCACCCCTCCTGTTTTCGCCAATAGGCAATAACTCACGCCGTAACCATTCCATTAACGTCAAACTTTCAGCACCTGCCTAAAATTTAATTGTGGATCTTGCTGTACAGGCAATAAGTATATCGGTCCTCACGTTTTCTAGTAACAGGGATGTAAAGTCAAACGTCCTGCCGGAGGGCGGTGTGGCGGCCGGCGCCGGCCGTTACTCGCCGCCTGACTGGTAGACTGTGCCGGCGCCGGATAGTTCTTTCTTTGCGTTGAGCTGATTTGATGAAAAGGCTTAGAATTGTACAGGCAATCTTAACGTTAAAAAATCGAAAATCGGCCGGTAACATTTTAAGTTACGAGGGTGTAAACACATAATTGTGACAGAAACGTGTCCTGCGTCGGCCGATCCCCGCCTCAGCCGGCGAAATCTTACTCTTAGCGGGCTTCTAACTGCCAGTTATATGGTTGGATTAGCAAGAGATTCTCTACATACAGGGTGTTGCAGATAAATCCGACACTTGAGAGGCAAAATACGAAATCGGCAATGAAAGCATGAATATTGCACACACAGGCCTGGGATTTTATTCAGCACAAGTTCGAGTCATATGCTGCACTTCTACTCGATGTAACCGCCGTCGGCGGCGACGACCATCTCAAGCCGAGGGCGAAATGATTCGCACGCCTTGGCGACCGTGTCCTTGTCTACGGCGGCGATTTCTGCCACGATGGCGGCCTTGAGAGAGTCGACGGTATTGTGTGCGTGCTTGTTGGTCTTGGCCTCGATCACGCCCCAGAAGAAATAATCGATGGGGTTGCAGTCAGGAGAGGAGGGTGGCCACAAGTCCGGCGACCAGTGGTGAGGGACGTTGTTGAGCAGCCACGCCTGCGTCGTCCTGGCCTTGTGCGCCGGGGCGGAGTCTTGCTGGAAGACGTGGGGGCGTCCGTTGGCGTTCCTGTGTTTGTGTTTTGGGGGAGGCAATTGATCATGGAGATGTAACATACTGCCCAACTTTTCATCGTGAGCATAGCACTCGAATAAACACGTTTTTTCCAAGTGTCGGATTTATCTGCAACGCCCTGTATATATGCTCAAAAATGTATGCACTGTTGTATGGTAAAAGAAATAAGTAAATCGGCCGGTAACCTTTTGAGTTATGGGCGTGTAAACACAAAATAGTCCCTCACATGGCAAAGTTGACAACATTTGACCTCATTTGACCTTGAATATATAGACCTAGAGTCATGAAATTAACACACATTGGAATTCTTCACCGCTCCCACTTACCCTCCAAATTTCGTCTTATTAACTCCCACAGGAGCGGAGACCTAAGAGGGGTGATATTCTCCCCCCCCCCTCCCCTCCACTGTGCGTAGTTCTTGGAACCCTTCCACTGCGTGTGTTAACCGATCCCTAATGGTGTACCTACCCAATTTAGGCGCAATTGGCATAGCCATTCTTGAGATGTAGAAACGACTTATGCAGGTGCGCACGTGTTGCTATATCACTCCAACCGTGATAAATGGGAATTCATCATCCGGTTCATGCTCACCTATCGGCTAAGTTTCGCGCAATCCGCCCAGTCAACGCTGAGTTATTGTAAACGGTTAGCACTCCTTGGCGTGACACGTGGCACCTGCCGTGTTGGCGACCCGTAGGTATGCTATGCATCAAAAGAAGTTGGGTTCATTATTTAGGTGATGGCTCTTTGATACGGAAGACCTTTTTTCGGTCGGTCGAACGGTTGCCGAGCCATAAGCATAGAGTAATAAAAACACAGTGTTATTGGTGCTATTTGTTACAACATGATATAAGCATCTGCAAAGCATCACGGGGCCGGATCGGGCCGCTCATATCGATATTTTTCCGTTGATTAAACCAAAGATAAACTCGCTTGCTTGCTGCGCTCGCTTCCTCGTTAACAAATGCCTTGCTTTGTTACTTGATGAGTAGCGAAGACAACGTCCTCAGAAGCAAAAGGTTAACCAAGGACGAAGTTTGAGCATTGTCGAGCCCCTTCCCTTTGACCAGATAATGCTCAGAAGCGATGAACTTTCCGACGACCCTAACTGGACTGGGTGTACCGAGGTCGAATTCGGAGATCGGATCACCGCCAGGTATGAACAACGTCTCACATATGCCGGTGAGTCGGTGACTGAGTTCGTTTTGTGTGTCGATTATAAATAGTTACAAATGCTGAGACGCTGACTCTGGGTGCACGTCGTCTTACCTCTGGCTATGAGTTCGGTCAGCGAGCCGGCCACCAGGGCCTTTTTGGCGTAGCGTCGATGGTCCCAGACCTTGTAGGGTCTCTTCCTTCCTTCGGACTGGAACATAGAGAGAGGGCTCGTCTCACTCGGAGCGATGTGGGTGGGGTGTACGGTCTCAGTGCTGGGTGTTGGTGGGTATAGGAGGTCTCACTCAGGGCAGTGGATGTGGGTGGGGCATATAGTCTCACATTGGGTGTTGTGGGCTATAGAAGGTCTTACTCGGGGCGATGCGGATGGGGTGTACGCCGTACGGTCTCAGTGCTGGGTGTTGTGGGGTATAGAAGGTCTCACTCGCGGCGATGCGGATGGGATGTACGGTCTCAGTGCTGGGTGTTGTGGGGTATAGAAGGTCTCACTCGGGGCAGTGTATGTGGGTGGGGCATATAGTCTCACATTGGGTTTTGTTGGAGTATGGACGGTCTCACACGTAATACTTTGGGTGTGCACGGCCCTATATGACGATGCGTATTGGGTAGTGACTAGTGATATAGACGAATTCTCGTGGTGTATTTTTAGCTAAAGTGACAATCCCACCTACCCTCGCCTGTATAGGGGGTCGAACGCCCCCCCCCCCCGGTTTTTCGCGAATAACTCGCGTAAAAAGCGGCCGATCGCGACAAAACTCTCAGTAGGTACGCTCGAGTTCATCAATTATACACCTACCTTTAAAATTTCATGACCTGGACCCAAATAACCTTTGACCTGTGACCTAATTTTCGAGACCATGTTTGGCCGGAGTCTGAATCGGCGTATGTCGACTCGCATTAGCCGCGCGTTTGCAGTCTTTTCGTGGCTTCAAGCCTTCAAACATGTGATATGGTGTTGGCCCCATGCATTAGGGTGGGTGTCAAGGTCACCTGAAGGTCATATCAGGTCATTGATCTTTGATGACCTCGGTCCCTAGCTGTGAATTCAAAATTCAGGTTTCAAATACTCATCTGAAACATCTCATCTGAAACTTCTCATCTCATCTCATCTCATCTCATCTGAAACATCTCGTCGCATTCTTTTGTTTGCCATCTCGTGTTTTTCGCTGCACCTTTTGGGGTTCTCGAGTTATCGGCTGGGGGCGTTTAACGCCTCCCCCCCCCCCAAAAAAAAACCGGCGGGTGGCGGAATACTCCAGCAACTGCCGGGCTAAGGTACCAAATGTGAAATTATTGCTTCCACATGGCGTCATAGGAACAGCAGAGGGCCAAAAAAGTCATGTGTCGAAAACCGGTGAATATTTTTCGGTGAAATTTGGTAGATATTCATTTTCTCTCTTTCTGAGCCACGGTACATCACTTTCATGCCAATTCATTAACTTTTTAAGGTGGGAGGGTCACTTTAAGTCTTCATCAGGCGCTGCGTTTACAATTGTGACAGCCTAGATGCTGATACACGTGCGCACGCGCACGGGCTCTTCTTCGTCTTTGCCGTCTAGATGCATGACACACAAATCATTTGGGTCTAACTTGATGCGTGCGAACGTGCATGAATGCTTTTAGTGGCTACTCATTGCGCTCGCTTATCGTCAAATAAGCGCCACACTAATTTCTGGTACATCCCTCGCTCGTATTAGCCTTTTTAGCAACCAATGTACGTACGCAAAGCGATGGGACGATTGGACCCCTCGGCCGTCACCCCCAGTCACACGGTCCCTAGAGGCTCACGAAAGAGGTTCGCGAGAAGTTAGTAGCGTGCTGCTCGTGGCGAAGCAAAGCAGCTGGCACCCAACTTAATGTTTCTAGGTCATTAGGTGACCTTCTTGGTCAAGTTGATGGAGCGAATCTCAAGAAAATCGAGACCTGCCAGAACTACTTAAATTGAGTGATTTCTGTGGTATTTTTGGATCTTTATTCCTAATTTTTCCTATACACACCTTGCTCAAATATGATACGTATTTATGCATTTGTGATGGGTCAAGTCATGTCGGGTCAGGAGGTCAGGTCAACCATTAGGCGTCCCGCCGACTATTTTTCAGGTAGGCATTTATGACCACTGATCGGTTGGCCGCGAGTCAAGCGGGCTCAAGTGGTCCCAAATGTTCAAATGATTGCGAAGTTCGAGATCAGGAATGGGGATGTAACATTCACAAAAGTCGATGTAAGCCATCAAAGGTCAATGACTTTGACCTGCCTTTCAAGTGCGCAATGGATTCTGACCTTTTTGCGCGATCAAAAAATCCCAGGTTCACAGCAAACTATAAGGTCTACTGTAACGCTTCACCCATGACCGGGTGGGGGTTTCAGCCAGCTTCGACATGGTGGTAGGGAGGCGTATTTGGCCTCACCCGATTATCTCGAAAATTGAAGCTCTGGAAGAAAGCAATAGATATCTCGCTACAAAAATCTTCAGAAATATACAGATAATTTTCCGATCAGGTCATTGCTGAGGTCACTGGAGGTCACCAAAGACAAACTTAACAAGAAAAAGTTTCACCATTTTGACGATTTTTTTAGTACCTTATTTTAGCGTAGAAATTGTGGTTATACTGGTGTTACTATCAAAATAAGTGCATGTATCTACATAGCTAAAAGGTGACATCTACAAATCCGAAGGAAACATTTTTGTGCCTTTATTTACATTTATTTGTTATGGGGGGTAGAGACTAGAGAGGCTTGCCCGAATGAACTCAATGTTAGGAAAGTCACCAAATCAAACTTCTGGGAAAACGAGCTATAAGACAATAAAGACAAGCTAACTTGCTTGTCTCGTCTTTATTTTCGTGTCTGTCTCGTGCTTGCTTTTCTTTATTCTGTTTTATAGCTCGTTTCCCTCCAAGCACGACTTTGGTGAATTTCGTAACATTGAGTTGATTCGGACAAGCCCTCCGACCTCCACATAAATAGAGGCACAAAAATGTCACCTATGTATTTGAAGATGTCACCTTTCAGACATATGCACTTATACTAGCCGTTTTCACGACGGCCATCTGGTACACATTTGGTGCACATCTGGTGCAGATCAGGTGCATATTTGGTCAAATCAGGTTCAGTGTGTCTCTTACTAGCGATCAGCTAGGGTTGCACTAGTTGCTTATATGCCTGCTTTGTCATATTATCAGAGAGTATCATCGATGAAAACACTGAAATAAATTCATAAAATACAGATATTTGCTGTAAAAAAGATTAGGTGCGGATTTGGTCAGATTAGGTGCACTCGCCGAATAGCCCGTCGTGAAAACGGCTATTGATAGGTAGAATAAGCGCAACCTTTATTTTGACGCTAAAATAAGGCTTAAAAAAAGGCTAAAATACTTTAAATAAAGTATTTGTCCTATAACTGCAGCATTGACTTTTTCAATGATGATTTTTTTTCTTAATAATATCGCTCCCGACATGACTGAGCTCAACGTTTCGTTCAATCACCATTGCTTGTGTGAGGCGTTATTTTGTGTCGCTTGGAACTCGCTTCTCTAAATTCGAAGTTTGAATTGTCGTACTTAGACATTGCGTTCCTGTGTAGCTCGTGATTTTTGCATTTTTACTTTGTATTGCCATCCTTCTTGCCATTCCAATCGGTATATTCTCTTGTATTGTGCCGAAATTTAATTTTCTTGTTTTTAAGTTTTTCTTTTGGGTTTTTGACCGTAGTTTTCGATGGTCACATGCCGACCTTTCCGGAACCAGTGGCGACGGCATGGTAGGTCGGCGTCGAGCTCGCTGCGAACAGTGACGTAATCGGCCATTCGTAGTACTTAGATACGTGAGATTTGCTGCACAAACCTGAACGAGTTTATGACAAGAGCTGCTCAGCAAATGTTTTTTAAAAACTAAAAATTCTGAAACTACGCTTCTGGGTATTTGACTTAACCCTCGCCTATTCCTTGGCTTCAAACGTTAACTTTTCACGGCTGATCAAAATAATCTCTTAACGAGGTTGAGTCTTCGCCTCGTGCATTTTGCCTTGGTTATTGTTTTAGGACCATTTGAATGGTGCTTTTAAAGTGCCCCTCCCCCTCCCCCGCCCCCACCTTCCCTCGTAGATACCACTCACGTTTTTAATTCTACATAGAGGGTGGATACAGTATATACCTGCTTGTGTACTTAACAGATTGATTCAATGCATAGCAATGTAGTCATTACCTACCCGTTTTCCCTTCCCACATGTAGAATGCAGATGTTGTAAATGTTTATCCGGTACAGAATGACACCATTGACCATAGGCACTGCTTTATAATGTTGCAATGAAATACCTGATAGGTACCGCATCTATACATATTGCTTCATGTATCGGTGTTAAATACATTGCAATTTGAAAAACTGTACCTAGATTGATGGATGCACGAATAGGTGGATAGGTCCAAACTCCACTGAGGATGCTGTTCGAGGCTGGACACTGCATGCTGATGCACTAACTGAGGATCCATTACAAATGGATGCAATAAAATCGTGCAGAATAGCTAGAATGTCCATGCAAAAATGTGCTCAATGTACAGTACGTGGGATCACCGTGTAGCTTAGGTGGGTTCACTGCATGCAAGAAAACCACGAAGGCGGAATGGGGGGGGGATGAGGGGGCGGACTGCAATGTAGACGAATAAAATAGGCAGCACAGTGGCGTAGTACAAGCTATTGGCTGAGGTGTAGGTAACGTATTCACAGGTGCATAATGCATTATATACGTTTATTTCATCAGGCATAATGTTCAATGGTAACGGGTGAGCTTTGCCAGGTCCTAGATGATGCTGCATAGTGCATACGGCATCGGTAAACAGCAAAATTAAGAAAAGCGGCATCTTGACGACAAAAATAACCAGGACTGGTAGTAAGCCGTACATTTCGGCGGCATAAGAACGTGGCACGGTTATGTGGCACAGATGCAGCGCACAATTGGCCAGCACATGCAGACAGCACAGGCAGAGGGGACAGGTAAAGCACACAGTAAGCACAGGTGGGCGGCCACATCGTGTGGGCACCACGAACTCAGCCATGGCACGGAGATCGGAGCGAGCGGGCACGACATGAAGCTGGCGGTGCGGCAGGATTCGGCGGCCGCCCGGTTGGCGGCTGTATCGACCGCCGACGGCGCTGGTCCGGCGGGCCGGCCCGCTGCCGGCCGCCCGGCGGCCATGACCGGCCGGCCGGCGCGCTCCCAGACTCACCGTGCTGGCCGACGGGTCGCGGTCGGCCTCCATGGCCGGTGACGGCGCGTCTAGCGTGCGGCGGCTGCCATGGTGCGGTGGCCGGGCGACTGGCGGCGGCCCACACCGGCACCGGAGCGGCACGCACCCATCACTGGCGGCCTCGCGGCGCCCACCGGCCCACCATCGATCCGAGCACGGCCGACGGCCAGACGCGGCCGGAAGCGGTCCGCGCAGCCGCCGCGCCGGCCCGCCGAGCTGCAGCCCCCAGCTGCAGCCCACGGCAGCGCCGGCACACAGCTCACAGGCCGCGGCAGCCGCGGCACAGCTACAGCCCAACACCACCCCACAGCCCACGGGAGGATTACACAGCAGCCGCGCCCACCCAGCTGCAGCCCATGGCCGCTGCTCAGCTCCCACAGCTCACAGCTACAGTTCGCGGCAGCGTTACAGCTCGCACAGACCACAGTTGCAGCCCGCAGTAGCCGCACAGCCCCAGCTGCAGCCCACGGCTGCCGTAAATGCTCACAGGTCACGGTCGCCGAACAGCTCACAGGTCACAGCTGCTGCCCACGACCTCCGTACAGCCCACAGCTGCAATCCATAGCGTAGAGCTCACAGGTCACGACAGCTGCTCAGCCCATGGCTATAGCTGCCAGCTGTTACGGGTGCCGAGCCCGTCACAGCTCAGTAGCCGTAGCACACGGCAGCGTTACAGCCTGCACCGCTCACAGCTGCAGCTCGCGGCAGCTGCTCCAGCCGCCGCGTGGCACACGGGCTCGACACCCATGGCCGGCGCAGAGACCATGCAGCTGCACAACCATACAGTCCACGGCTGCAGCCCAGAACTGCAGCCCCTGCCCACTGTATTAGTGATGTCAATTGCAGAAAATCTGAATACCGATACCAAACCAAATACCAACCAAAACCGTGAGGAAATACCGAAACCGAGCCAACCTAGGAACATGAGGCAAATACCAAATTTATACCAATTTATCAGCCTCTTTAGTATAAGTGAGGGTTCATAATACCAACAAAATACCAAATATAGGAGGATTGAAATACCAAATACCAAGTTGGTATCGGTTTGGTATCGGTATACCAAAATGTTGGTATCCGATTGACATCTCTACACCGTATGATTTTCATAGCTGCATACCGGCTACCGATCAGCCCACTACCTGCAGCTGTTTCACATAGCCCATACTGCATACTACAGCTGTTTCCTACAGCCCGCGGTTGCAGCTCTCGGCTATCGCTCAAGCCAAAACTACAACTTGGACATAGCCGCCGTGCGTTTGATGCATCTCTCCGACTTTTTCGTGAATACGCAGATCGTTTTTGAGATACAGAAGTGGAATTTGGCCTAGCTGATCCTTAATTTAAGAATCAGATCTTTGACATCCACCCACCGCATTTTCTAGCCAGGTCAGATCACTGACTTATGCCATGATAACTAAACCTCTGCAAGGCCCAAAATTGTTGCGACTTTGCAACCCATACATTTCGAAGTGTCAGGGAATTATTTGCTAAGGCTGACGCTATTACGAAGAATTGAGCTCATAGAGTCCTCATCTTGTATTTGCTTATCTTGAAATTTCGATGAGTCACCTGAGCTTTAGTGACAGGTCAGTCGTGTGGACCAACGTCATTAGGAAAGTGAGGAGACTACCTTTCAAGCAATAAAAAAGATCTATACATCAAACACATTTCATCACAATTCCATACTCTCCTTGCAAGGCCCAATCCTTGCTTTGTACCTTTTGGACCGAGCGTGGCGTCACATGACATCAATGAGGTCGCTTGAGGTCATTGGATTTATGATATTGACTTGACCTGAGGTCAACAATCAAGCTCAGCCTTTCCCAAGGATACCATCAGACGTGGTTGAACACGGCAGACGCAATGCTACCTATCGTAACTCAACGAACATTTTTGGAGAGGTAACAATTAACAGGTGCACCAAAAACCGAACCTCAGTCTTTGACCTATCCTGAGAGGTCGTCAGCTGACCTGAGGCCTTACACTTGGATTCCAGTCACTGTGTCTCGTAACCGCACATCCGTTCGTTTTTCCGCGAAGTCCGGTATAATTATGGGCAAAGATCCGAGTCGTGTCCGCCTTCACCCACCTCGGCGTGCAGAAGCCAGAAGGTCAGCTCGCTGGTGGCGATGATATTTTTGATGAAACACCCATAAACATAGCGCAAGTCGCTTAACCCGCGACCTGGTGGGGGGGGGGGCTATATTTTGCCCCCCCCCCCCTCCAGACTTTTCGATATATCTCCAGAACCACTGCGCCGATCGTCACCAAACTTTCAGTACCCTCCCGGACATCAATTTTACACATTGTGATCAAAAATTTTTTCCAAAGGCTATGATAGGTTGGCCGGAAATGACGTCAGAGTGACGTCATGTTCTGCCGTTTTCGACCCAAAAAAGGGTTTCGCGGGAAGAGCTGTCAGGCCTATAGCTTTGCAAATACAGAAAAATGATAAAGACATAAAAGCTGTAGATTGGACAGGGCTACAAAACTGCTATCTCGGATTTTTGAAATTTTTGGATTTTGACCCCCAAAAATTAAAAAATAGATTTTTTGGATATAATAATCGAAAAATCCAAAAAGTTTTTTGAATTTCGCAAAAACCGGAATATATGTGATAGTCCTTACCATCTTCCATCCACATACCAAATTTGAGATTGATACCTCTTTTTTTGGCGAAGTTATAGCGAAAAAAACTGTTCAAAATTGATGACGTCAAATTTTCAAACTCAATTTTTAGCAATTTTAGACCCCGTAGCGCAAAACAAAGACCACCATTAGACTCCCCGTGACGAGCTGCATCGAATCAATACCCATTTTATGCAAAACTATCAACTTTAAAATTTGACCTTTTTTGGCCTGACCTTGACCTGACCTTGACCTGAACTTCACCAGAAAGTGACCTAAGCCGTACCTGATAGTCTTATAACCAACACCATTGAGTTGGAAATGAAAAATTGGCCATAAAACATGTATCACACAACCTTAGTAAAGTTGGGCTCATGTGACCTGACCTGTGACCCTTGGTGACCTGACCTGTGACCTGACCTGGTATTGCCAGTGACCTCTAATAGCAACATATCTACTAGGCAACTGACGCCCCACCGCTGATTCTCGACAAAATGCGTTTTCCTCGGTGTTATAGCGCATTCCCTAGAAGACCCGTGAACGGTGAAACATTTCATCTTTGACCTGACCTGTGACGTCATCGGTGACCCCGAGGTCAATGAAATTTGGTTTCCTCCGACAAATTTGACAGGCCTTTCGAACGCCGTTTGAATTTTGTGGATCCGTCCAGTAGTTTCGGAGATACGAGGGGGGGGGGCAAAAAATAGCCCCCCCCCACCAGGTCGCGTTATAAACAGACCCCACCAGGGCGCGGGTTAACCCGCGCCCTGTTGAGGTCTGGTAGGCAGTGGCGGCGGAACACCTTCATTTAACCCTCGCATGTGTGCGGCGTTTGCCAGCTTCTAATGTGTAGGGGGGGGGGGGTCGGTTGGACCCCCCCTTGCCGTTTGGCCCCTGATCGAGCTAGAGCTTCGCGGAAAAAACGAGCGTGTTGCCCGTGACGAGAGGAAGCCGATGATACCCAATTTTAAGGTCCTAGGTCATTGGTTGACCTTCCAGGTCAGGTCAATGACCCAAAGTCGGGAAAATCGGGACCTTTTAGAAAGTCGTAAAGTGTGGCTGCTAAGGGGTTTTTCGGGGTGCTGATCACGAATATCGTGTTAGTTTTGATCACAGATGATGTCTTGAAGCATTTAGACCAGGTCGGGTCAGGTCAGGTCAGGTCAACCAGTAGGCGTCGTGACGGGTATTCGTAGTACGTGTCAACCGCCTCTGACAGCTTCGTAACATGTTACGAAGTCACCAAAACTACTTCGTAAATGTTCAAATGGTTGCTAAATTCGAATTCAGCTCCAAAAACTAGCCTAGAAACATGTAAAACTCGAAAAAGTGACCCGAGGTCAACCGAGGTCACCAAAGGTCAATGACCTGACCTGACCTTCAGGTGACCTTGACACACACGGGAGTAACATCAAATCACATGTTTGAACGTTTGAAACCACGAAAAGCTTGCAAACACGCGGCTAGTGCGAGCCGACGTACGCGAAATCGCGATTCCGGCCAAACATGGTCTCGGAAAAGAGGTCACAGGTCAAAGGTCATTTGAGTCAGGGTCATGAAATTTTCAGGGTAGGTGTAAAATTGATCAATGCGAGGGTACTGAAAGTTTCGTCGCGATCGGCCGCTTTTTACGCGAGTTATTTGCGAAAAACCATGGGGGGGGTCCATCCGACCCCCCCCTACACATGCGAGGGTTAAGGGGGGGGGGGGCACTGCCGACTTTTGGTCCCATTCTTTCCATGCAACGCCCATAGGGCTAATGTTAAAATGTCAACATCAAAGGGAGGGCACGGTGCCCCGGTGCCCCTCCCCCCGTTCCGCCGCCTATGCTGGCAGGTTCCAGATCCTGTTGGGGGAAGCGGCTGGGGGGATCCATGTGATCGCAAGGCACCTCGCAGTTGCGATCAAACGTAAGTTGAATCGGAACAGATATTGGAGGGATCCATCACATCGTAGGCTAAGTAGATACGCAAGTTGTATCGCAAATGGTGAAGATACGAACTAACTTTACGAATCTTCTCGGTCGATCGGAAGGCCGATCGTAGTGAAGCTTTACCTCTTTCTCAAGAGAAAAATATAAGAAATTTTCAAAATTTTCACAAAACCGAAACATATGTTAAACAAATATGGTTGATGAACACGTGTGCAAAATTTGAAGTCGATTTCTTCAAAAATGGCTGCGCTAGAGCGTTTTAAATTTACACGTTGAAAACGGTCACTTTCACGTCATTTTTGTAATCACTTTTTCAAAATTTAAAAAGTGTTTTGGGCAATTTTTCGCGTTAATTGCGAAAATCTGACCAAAACATGTATCGCACCATCAATGATCCGATACGCCATCAGAGGCCGCGCCGCGGACAGGTGGGCGCGGCGATACCTAGGCCGCGTGGGGGTTACACTGGTGTTCGGGAAGGGCTATGTCAACGCGAGGCAGGCCGCGGGGGAGCCGGTTGCGGCGCCGGTCCGTATTTGTCGGCGGACGGCGCTTAACA